TCCCCACGTCCTTCGAGCCGCGGAGGCCCCCTCCCCTGCGCCCCGGCGTGACCTCAGTCCCCGGCTTCCCCCATCTGCCCACAGCCAACCCCACGGGGCCCGGGGAGCGGGGCCCGCCGGGCGCGGTGGAGGTGATCCGGGAGTCCAGCAGCACCACGGGCATGGTGGTGGGCATCGTGGCGGCGGCGGCGCTCTGCATCCTCATCCTGCTCTACGCCATGTACAAGTACCGCAATCGCGACGAGGGCTCCTACCAGGTGGACCAGAGCCGGAACTACATCAGTAACTCGGCCCAGAGCAATGGGGCGGTGGTGAAAGAGAAGGCCCCGGCCGCCCCCAAGACGCCCAGCAAGGCCAAGAAGAACAAGGACAAGGAGTATTACGTGTGAGCCCCGGCGCCCCACTGCCAGCCGTCCCTCCGGGAGGCCCGGACCAGGGTGCGGCCCTGTCCCTGCTGGAGGCCTGGGGACCCTCTCAGGCCGCCTCAGGCTTCTCTCACGAAGAGGAATCGCAAAAAAAAAAAAAAAAAAAAGAAAAGAAAAGAAAAAGAAAGAAAAGGAATACCCCGTGCTCGTCCCCTTCCTCCTGCCATCCACGGCGTGCGTGCGTGTGGCACTGGCAGCCCCGGGGCTGCCTGTCCGTCTGTCCGTCCGTCCGTCCGTCCCTCTCGGCTCTGCGCAGCCAGCCAGGGCACGTGCTCACAGCCCTGGGTTGATTTATTTTTTTAAGGGGGGTAGTTTTATTTTGGTGGGGTTGGGCGGGAAGGAAGGCTGCGGGTTTTGTAAAGTGTCCACTACACGTCCTGTTCATTTCCCTCGAATTTTTTCTTCTTCCTCCCTCTGTCCCTTCTGCCTTCCTTCTCTTTCCAAACCTTCCAGTCCCCATCCCAGGCTTGCTGTGTCTGTCCCCACCCTCGTTCCCCACTTTTTTTTTTTTTTTTTCATTTTTAAATTTTCTTTGGTGTATCTGGTTTCTCCCTTTCCTCCCTTTGGGTTTCCAGAGTTGGTGGGAGAAGGGTGGGAGGGTGGGCCCCAGGCAGTGGGGGTCTCCCCCAGTGCCTCAACTGCCCTCATCAGGAGAGACGCCTGCCTGGGGCTGCCCAGGGAAGGGGCCTGGGCCGGCTGAAGGCCTGTTGTGTGTGCTGTCAGGCCACGTGCATTGAAGCAAAGCTCCTGGAGGAGCAGGGTGGGGGGCGGGGGGGCAGGGAAAGGCAAATGCAGATATATATTACAGACAAATTTACAGCCACGAAGCAGCCTGTGGCAGCCACTGGGCACGGGGAAGGGAGGGAGCGAGGCAGTGTCTGCGGACTCCTGGGGTCACCTCTTGGCCCATGGACTCCCTGCTCCCCCAGTTTTTTTTTCTCTCTTTGTTAACAAATGTGTCTGAGTCTTGGAAACACCCCAACCCCGGAAATGTGTGGGAAAAAGAAAACAAAACTTTCCAAATTCCACCAGTCCTGTGCAATTTGTTCTGGGCGGATGCTGTTAGGACCCAGGTCCTGGTTTTGGGCTGGGGCCAGGGCCCAAGTGGGGGGCCTACGGAAGCTGGTAAGTCACCCCCAAACTTTTGAGTTGAACACAGCTCAAAAGCTCCTTTGTCCTCTCAAGTCCCTGCTGGGTGGGGATGAGGGTAAGAAATGTTACAGGCTGGCAAGTTGATTGGTCTCTGGCCACTGCTCTGTGACCTGCTTCTTGGCGCATAATCATTGCACGTCTGGTGCTGTGTGTAGGCACTGGTCTGGTGCAGGACATATGCTATCTAACCCTAACCCAGACCTTGCAGCGAGGTGGGTCCAGGATCTCCAGGTGAGTCAGTGACTGAGCCCATGCTGTCTGTAACCCCCTCTTCCTTCCCTCTGCTGAAAGGACCCCAGAAACCTTCCACCCCCAAATCGACTCTGGCTGACTGAAGGGGGAGGCAGAAGCCACCACCTCAGCCATCTGAGGAGTCCACTCCTTCATGGAGGCCCAGCCAGCCTCCCAGCTAAGGGATGGGTCTGTGTTCTTTTCGCTTCTCAGCGGCAAGGAACAGACTCAGGAGCTGTAAATATACGTGAAGACACGCATGGGTGGCATCCTCGGGAAGCGTGGGTCCAGGTCTGGATCCCAGGATAGTGGGGAGGGCAGTCATGCTACTTGACACCCAATAGATGGCCACTCTGTCACAAGGACTCCTCCCTCAATCTGTTTGATTCTGTACTTCCTGGCTCTGCTTCTTGGGCCCTGGGTGCACCATCACCTTCACTGCCTGGCTCTGGGTGTGGATCGCTGGGGACTTGGTCTCTCTATGTCCTTCTGAACCAGTCATCTGGGGATAAGGCTCCAGTACTGCTTGTCAGTCCCCGCCATCCCCTGCCACCCCCTGCCCCCCACTACACTGCTCACAGTCTTGGGGCCAGAACGAGAAAGTCAGCTCTGTGAGAGGTCTGATGTGGGCCAGTCTGCAGAGCATCCCATCCCTGTGCAGCTTGGGGCCCTGCCACCACTCTTTGCCTGGGGCCAAGGCTTATCTCAGGTCCTCCTCCATTGTCACTAGTCAAAAGAAAAAGACAGGCTGGAGTTCCTTGGTGACAAGAAGGAAGGAACATCTTCACTCAGCAATGTTTAGGGTGACCCTGAATGACACAGGGTGCACCCCAGGAGCTGGAAGGATGTCTCTGGTCCTCCTGGGACTCATCTTGTTTTCTCTGCCGAAGGAGGCTGGGGCCCTGTTACTAGAAGGCTTTGCTGCGAGAGGAATGATTTCTAGACTTGTCACTGATTCAGTTTAACTTTTTGGTGTCATTGTCCTGTGCATCCAATGTTGAACACTGCACCTGGACTTGAGTCTGGCTCTGGGGGCCTGGGTCACCTGGAAGTGACTCCAGGAGAGGCCTAAACAGCTTATTGGGATGGCTGAAATTCTCCATGTCTGAGCTCCTTGAAGGGGCATTTCTCAGAGGTGTGTCAGGAGATCCCACCTCAGGGGCACCAAGGGCAGGCTTGGAGAAGAAGTTAACAGTGAAGTTGGGATAATGGCCTTTGACCTTGAAGACCTGCCCACTGCTCCACTAGTGCAGTGGAAAGGCCCCTCCCAAGATGGAGATGGAGCCTGCAGTGCCTGGTGCCTCTCCTCCACATGGGTCCTTCAAGGTGAGCTGCGGCCTGGCTGGGGACAGGACAAAGGTTCCTGAGTCTCTCTGTCCCAGGTCTGAAGGCCTCTGTTGCCATGGAGACTACTGGGTGTTCATGGGCTCCCCTTTCCCATACCTTGTTCCTTTGACCTCTCCATTATGGGTGCTAAGCAGCTTCTGGTGTGAGGAGGCTCAGGGTGGGCATTACAAAGGTGATGTATCCAAGCGGAGGCCTGCTATCCCGGTGGGCCTCCTTTCTTGGCAGGACACCCACTTGGGCAATGTCACTACTCCCCAGAGCCCAGAAACCAGTCCTGTTGAATTGGAAGAGGGGAGGGCAACTCACATTGAGGCAGATGGGCCCTGGGTCCTGGAAGGTCGTGACCACCTGGAGAGGCCAGGAGCAAGGTCATTCTGAATATGGGTGGAGGTAATGCCTTGACTTGCCTGGTGAGCTGGAGGGACACCCTGGGGTTGAGGAGTCGTCTTCCCCTGAGTTCTGCTTTTTGGAAGTTTCTGAACCCTCTGGGGCCCCAAGATTGCTGAGTAAGCCTAACAGGCAGCTGGGCTTCAGCCAGGCAGCTGGTAAAGGAAAGATGGAAGCCACAGCTGGCTGTACATCTCATCCCGGGGAACTGTACAACCGTGATTCTTACCTCTGGCCTTTCGCCCTGGGGGTCTCACTGAGGAATGGCCATAGGCAGATGACCAAAGGACACAGCCCCTCAGAGGCCCAGAAGCCACAGCTGACAGGACCAGTCAGGGGTTGGGGACCTTGTCTCCCAGAACCAGAGGCTGTTTCTGTTTTCCTGCCAACCTTTCTGTGTGTGTGTGTGTGTGTGTGTGTGTGTGTGTATCCAGACTGGGGTTCTGAAGACCTACAGACTGGGATTTAAATCCCAATTCTGTCTTCTGGGTGGCATGGGCAATCTGTTTCTCTGAGCCTCAGTTGTTCCACCTGTAAAATGGGGCAGCACCTATCTCATAGGGTTCGGGAAAAGATGAAATAAGACAGATGGTGCTCTGAGGAGCCCCGCAAGATGGCTGGTTCATAACAGGTGCTGGAAACAGCAGCTACTTTGGCCAGGCACAAGAGGCAGGAAAACGGTCTAGGAGCCCCCAGTCCTCTCCCCATCCCCTGGGCAGACCCTGGGGCTTCTCCCTGGAGTGCGCAAAGGACTATCACTCATTTGTTTCTTTCTCTGCTCTTTATTGAACCCCTCACATGGATACCTCTGACTGGCTCTGTGCCAGCTGGGACATGGGGCAGTGGCACCACCTTCTGGGAACTCCTCTGCCAGTGGGGTGGAGGAGACAGGTGTGTTGCTATCACCATGAGTCAGTGTCACTAGCATCATGGACTGGCCCTGCACCTGGGAGGGAGGGCCACTGCCCTGGGTCTGGGAGGTCAAGAGGAGGGTCAGGTGGGAAGGGCACTGCAGACAGAGGATGTCGCTGGATGTGTGGCTGGAGTGTGGCAAGGTGTGGGGAGGGGTCAGAGTGGGGCAGCCCAGGGTCTGGGGCAGCTCTGAGCAGCTGAGCTGAGACTCCATTATTTGTGCCCAGTCAGGAGAGATGAGGGTCAATTCTGAAACCTGGGCCAGGTGGACGGGTGGGGTGGCAAGCAATAAGGGGGCCCTTCCCCTCTCCTCTGTGCAGCCACATGGAGGAGTCAGGGTAACAATGGCTCATGCAGCCTCTTGTCAATCAAGTCGTCCTTTGTCCCTTCCGTGTTAGAGGTAGACAGCTCCGGGAAGTGTGCCCCAGGGCCCCAGAGATGGAGGCCTTTCCTTTCCTCTGCCATCTCCAGGAGAGAAAGAAGCCTCCTCCTCTTGTTTCTTCCTCCTTCTCCTCCTCCTTCTCCAGCTGTTCTTGGGATTCCAGGCTAGAACCCTGTGGACTTCAGCACAGAGTGCCCCAGTGTGCTAGGTGTTGCCTTCTTTACTACCCTGTTCAGGAAAGACACGGAGAAGTATGTCTCAGGGATCTCAGGTGACCCCTGACCCTTGACCTGTGTGCATACTGAGGACTCCAGTGGCTTGAGACTGAGCTCTCTCAGCACATCACAAGGATGGGGTGGGCATCTGAGGGCCTTGGGGATAGAGTCTGGGGTCTGTGAGGTCCCCCAGCAATAGTCGTCACACCGAAGTGAACAGAGGACTAACACTCTCTTCCCTTTGGGCTCTCTCAAGGTGGACCTGTGGGAATCTGGGAATTTGTGCCCCTGCTACACCCCCCGTGGTAAATTTAAAGGCAGAGGGTAAAGCTAGAGTCAACCCTGGGCTTCACTATCCCCATGATGTGCTGTGTGATTCTGGGTCACTCCTGTCCCTTCTTGGCCCTCTACTTCCTCTTCCATTCAGTGAGGGGTTGGGTGCCCAGGCCACCCTGTTCTGGGGTTCTCTGAAGGGAAGATGGAAGGGGGGAGTGAAGGTAGGGAAGGGTGGTCCCGCTACTGGCCCACTTACTGGTCCTGCACATCTTGGATGGTGTCAGGAAGTGGTAGACCTTTGGTCTCAGGCAGTAGCAGTGCAGCCAGGCCACTCAGCACTGGCACTATCCCATACACCAGCAGGGGCAGCGAGGAGCCATAGATGCCCAGCAGCCGGACCAGAGGCCCCAAGATGGCTCCCCCTCGCATTGCCACCTGGCACAGGCCCACTGCAGTCATCCTGCAGGAGCAGATGTCCTTGTGAGCAGCCACTTTGCCTGCCCACAGCCTTGACCTTCTGCCTTAACACAGCCCCTCTCAATCCAGGGAGGCTAAGAGGGTCAGGCTAGGCTGTGACATAGCTGGGCAGATCACAAGGAAGGGAGGGAGACACAGAACACACATATCCAAGTCTAGGGGAGGCCACCCAACCCCTCCCAGCCTAGGGTGCCCCTTTGTTGGTCCCAAGACAGCCTCACCTGAGCACGGTGGGGAAGAGCTCACCACTGAAGATGCTGGCACAGGTGAAGGCAGCCCCCAGCCCTCCCAGCCCCAGCAGAGACAGGGCCGGACGCAGGGCCCCCATCTCTGCAGATGGAGATGGGATTAGCCAGGGTGGCAGCAGAGGCCTAGGGTCTGAGGGGGTTCCCTTCATCCCAGTGGGTTGTCTCTATACCCCAAGCCAGCCTTTCCAAATGTCTCCCAGACCCCACTCCCAATCTGTTCCCCATCAAGATCCCCAGAGCCAGACTCTGGGAGTCCTTGACCCCTCATTCCCTCTGCTGAAATTCCACCCTGACTCCATCACTGCTCCATCACCCTAGCACAGCCACAGCTGTTGATCCACCCAGACCCCTGCAGTCTCCTTCCTAACTGGCTCCTGCTGTGGTTCCAGAGGGAATCAAAGGTCTCTGGTCTTGGCTTTTGCCTCCCTGCCTTGGGGTGCTTATGCTCACCGTGGGGCACCAACGTGTTGCCCAGGACACAGAGCCCCGCCAGCACCAGCGAGCCAACCTGGAAGGGGCGGCGGCCCAGGCAGCTGAGCAGCAGCAGGGAGCCCATCTTGGCTGGGAGGTCCACCACTGCGATGAGGACCTGGAGCAGGAAGATATTGCTGCCTAGGGCCTGCAGGTCCAGGGCCAGGCCGTAGAAGGTGAAGCCAACAGCAAACCTGGGAGCAGGGGCAGACGAATGTGGTCGGGCCAGGGCTGTTCTTTTGTCTGTCTGTTCTCAGACTGTATTTGCAACATGGCTTCTCATTGGGTTAGGCCCAATGAGAGGCATCGGGAGAGGTGGGGAGGAGCTGAGGGAAGCAGAGGGGAGAAGTGAGGTATTTATCCCTGTGTATTTGGGTGCACACCATGGCTCCACCATGGCTCCAGCATCCACTAAATAGGTCCTCCCTCCATGATCTCCTTAGTTTTTTTTCTGGTTGGGGAGGGGTTGTATTGGGGTTTGAACTCAGGACCTTGTGCTTGCTAGGCAGACACTCTAACACCTGAGCCACACCCCTTTTGCTTTAGTTATTTTTCGAATAGTCTTATATTTTTACCTGGATCAGCTTGGGCTGCAAGTCACATTCATCTTACTGGTTGAGATGGGGATTTCCCTAAATTTTTCCCTGGGCTGCTTCTAACCTTGATCCTCCTGATCTCTGCATTTTGAATAGTTGGGATTACAGGTGTGTGTGCTCACGCCTGGCCCATGGTTCCGGTCTTTGTGAATTGACCTGGGCTCCTGGGCTCTGGCAATAGTCCCCCTCCTCCCTGTGCCTGTCTGCTGCTCTCTGGGTCACCTCTTAATTCTGCCTGGATCTCCAACCCTCATAGTGCCCTTTTCTTCTCTTTTTTTGGTGGTACTGGGGTTTGAACTCAGGGCTTCACATTTGTTAGGAAGATGTTCTACCACTCGAACTACTCCATTAGCTCACAGTGCCTTTGTCGTAACTTGGCCCCTTTACCCCCACCCCACTTTTTCAAGCCCACCTGGCCTGCTGGTCCCTGCTGGAGGCTTCACTGTACACTAGCCTCTGACCAGCGGCCCACAGGAGAACCAGCAGGGTCCCCAGCAGTGTCCACGCTCAGCCCTGACTACAGGTCTTCTGCAGCTGGCAGCCAGAGGCAGAGGTTGCACTGTGGCATGAGGTTGAAGGGCACCTACCAGCACAGCATGCAGACCCAGGTCCTGAGGCACAGCCCAGGCGTGCAGAGCGGGGTGCTTATCCTGGCAGGAGCCTGGGCCCCACTTAGCTCCTCCTGCATGGCTGACAGCAAGGCCTAGGGGTGGGGTGGAGACTGTTGGCACTGGGTACCCACAGGTCATCCTCCCCTAGACCCTTATCCCGAGAGCTGAGACCCTTGGTCAGCCTCTCAGGAGGACTCTGTGCAGAGTCAGGAAGAGGGTCTGAGGGGCAGGCTTCAGGGAGGCCTGGTCCCACCTCACCTCCTTGGTCAGTGTGTCTCTCACTGCCCTCCTCCCGTTGATGGCAGCCACCCTCTGCAGCTCCTGCAGGCCCTGGTCCAGCTTGCCAATGGTGAGGAGCCATCTAGCTGACTCTGGTAGGCACCTGGAGGGGAAGAAACAGGGGAGGAGGTCACTGCCCTCCCAGGGTGTGGCCTGTGCCCGCCATGCACTGCAGGGACCACAGAGAGATGGCACCCGGTCATTGAGAGTGAGTTGAAGGCACAGTCTGTGTCCTGGGTGCCTGAACCAGAATGTGTGAGTGTCGGGCTTGAAGCTGGTTCCTGTGGCTCAACTCCAGCCCACGTGCCTTCTGCACCCCCACCCTCTGTTGCCAGGGAAAGGAGACTCTCCCACTTCGGACCCCCACAAGTGAGTGGGCAGGGAATGGAGCACAGCACCCACCATGAGTATACAAAGCAGAGGAAAAAAGGAGCGGAGACCGCTAGCTGCAGCAGGGGCCAGTTGCGGACACTGTAAGCCATGGCAGCCATCAGAGCCTGGCCAAAAGTGAAACCCAGAGAGTTCAAGGTCACCATCAGGGTGCGGGACTGAGCTGATGTCCACTCTATCACTGCAAGGAGAATGAGTGGTCAGCGCTGGAGCCTGTGCACAGCTTCTCCCACACGGCCCCAGGTCGGGGGAACCTACGGAGACTGTTCGTGTTCATCATGACACCAGCCACAGCAAAGGCCGCCAGGAAACGGAACAGGCAGTACAGGGGGAAGGCGGGGACAAAGGCGGCCACCGTGCCCGACACAGCTGCCTGAAGGTAGCTCCAGGTCAACACCATCCTGCGTCCGAACCTGCAGCATACACGGGAGGGTGACCGGGCAATGGCGTGCCACAGATTTGTGGAAGCGAGTTGAGGAAAGTGCAAAGCCACACGTGGGTGGCTTCATTCTTCACCCATAGAAAGGCTCCTGAGGATGAGTCTTGCAGGTCCCAGCGTAAGGCTGGCTCAGCCGGGAATGTGTTCCCTGTCGCCAGGCACAGTCAGGCAGCAGCTGAAGGTAGGGATGCCGCTGAGCAGGTTTTAGCAGGGAATATTTGATGAGAAACAGGGCCCTCTGCAACCCTGGAGACAGCCGGTGAACCTGTGGCTTGAGAAGGTTGGATAGTGGCCCAGGTGGCCAGGAAGAAGGGGGCTTTTGGGGCACTCACCTGTCCGAAGCGTGGCCACACACTGCAGCTCCCACCAGGATCCCGGCCAGGTAGATGGACTGGGCCATGGCCTTCAGGGCCTGAGAGTCACACACCAGGTCCCACTGGAGGGAAGGAGGCGAGCGTAGGAGGCTGGTGAGCCCAGGAGGGAGAGACTGAGGGGATAGACTCTGGGAGCTGGGGTGGGTGGCTAGCCAGCACGGCTCTGTGGGACAGCAAGGGCATCCACAAGTGTTGCTTGGTCTCTTTCGTATTCTGTCACCACTCATCTCAGCACCTCCATGGCTCCCGACTGCCCAGTAGATTGTTAGATCAAGCCCACTGTAGCTTCATCTGCCCTTCCCCCACCTTGCCCACTCTGCAGTGGTCATCTGAGATGCCACCTTCTCTAATCCCCATTCTTTAGCAAAGCCCATTCCTGCCTGTGGAGCAGCTGCCCTTCCCCTCACTGCCCAGATGTGCCTGACACCGCTTCTGAGAGGCCAAGGGGCTTGTCCTGGGCCCTTTGTATTTAGCCTCAGGAAATCCAGTGGATGGTCACCATGTCCCCCCATGACTGAGTTGCCTGGAGTCATTGCCAAGTGTCAGTTAGCAGGTAGTGGATGAGGCCAGTGAGGTGTGCAGACGCAAACGCCCAGAGGTGACTGCACTCAGGCCAGTCTTTGTAAACTGATTCCTGCCACTCTGTCCCCTGTAGGACCCCATGGTGGATGAGGGGCTGAGAGCCAGGGAGAGCGAGCCATCTCTCTCTCTGGGGAGATGCTCTTTCCCAGGATTAGACTATTTTGAGTTCAGTCAACTTTGACTTGCCAGTTGCCAGGATGTGGAGTGGACATGGGACCCTTACCGTGGTCACAATGGTAGAGGTGAATGTGCTGCGGTCATAGACCCAGCCATCCACGCACGGCTCCATGGCAGCCTCGCTCCAGTTGGCAGCTGTGACGTTGGGGTCCAGAAGCTGCCACTGTGGTTCCCGGAAGCGGAGGCAGTGGTGAGGCTGCTGGTCGGGGCCCAGTGGGATGGACACGGCCAGGAGCGCCTCAGAACTCAGGGCCCCGGGGATGCTGGCGTGGGCTGTGCTGTTGTCCAGAAGGGGTGTCCAGCAGCGGTGGCTGGGCACAGCAGCCGAGAAGTTCTCCAGCATGTTCTGAGTGGTAAGCCACATGACCGGGACCACCAGGGCCACTGTCTGGAGTACCTGGAACCTGCCCAGGTCCCCCACTTGCTCCAGGAGGTCAGGAAATGCCATGGAGCCCACCTAGGGGCCCAGAGGAGGCCCAATTCACAGAGGCCAGCCCAAGGCCACAGGGTCAAGGACACCGGCCTGTTTCTCTCATGGTGGTAGACACAGTGGCTTCCCCAGAAGCATGTCAGGGGCTAGCTTGATGGAGCTGGTGCCAGGGCTCTCTGGCATCCACCCAGTAACTGTCCCGAGGGGTGGCTCTACCTGAGACCTGGAGCCCTGTGCTGTGATCAAAGGCCACCAACCTTTCCCAGAGATGCAGCTGCTCTGGGATTCTAGGAAGAGTCAAATTTGGGAAGGGAGGAGTATACAGACTTAAGTTACCCAGGCTAGAATTAAAGTGTGACTAGGGCCATTTAATAAAAGAGGTTTAGTAATCATTTTCTCAGACAAAGTTTAACCCAGCACTAAGGAAAGGAGGTGAAGATGTAAAAACCCAGTTTTTCCCACCCACTGTGGCCTGGCCTGTCACAGGTCTCCAGGAGACCTGGGCTCTGCTCCTGGCACTAGGGGTGCTGTGCCCCTGCCTGCCTCCCGGGGTGATCACAACCGTGTCACGGGTTGACCCAGGAGAAGGTGGGCCAGGTGGGGTCCATCCTAGTCTCGGGGCTGGTATGAGCCTCAGGTGGCATGTTGTACTTGAGGATATGTGTGTCCCCATGCCTTCCAGCCCACAGACCTCACTTCAGTCACCTACTGCCATTGACTCCGGCCCCCATTTGCTGCGACCCTGCCCTGAGCCTCGGCTGGGCTCTCTGACCTCACCAGATGCCCACAGACTCCTGAGGCTGTGCCCAAAGCCACCCTGACATTTTTGCCCCTCCCCAATGCTACTCCTTCCAGGAGCCGTGTGCAGGCCATGACCTCCCACTGACGGTCCCCCAACCTGGAACCCAGTGTCATTGTTCTCATCTCCCAGTCCCATCAGTGGCCAAGCCCAGTGAATTCTTCCTGAGTCCTAAGGTCTCTCCCTCCCTGCCTGTCCCTCTCCTGACCTGCCTGCCTCTGGCGCTGCCCCTTTGACCTGTCCCCACACTGAAAACTCTTGTGTGGAGTTCTGCTTAAAATCCAGAGGGCTCCTGATCATCAACAGCTGGCGACACATCACTGGGGAGGGGGTGTAAAGCAGCGTATTCTGGGGACAGTGGTAGTGAGGGCAGAGTCAGGAGACCTCCCTTGGTTGTGGTGAGTTCTCCAGGCTAGAGCACCAAGAACACAAAGCAGCAGACATGCGCATGCATACACATGGCATACCCAAGTACACACGCTCACACATGTGCATGTGCGTCTGTGAGTGCATCCATGCGTGTGCCTCTGCATAGCCTCTTCACCTCCCTGGACTGTGTGCTGTGTCATCCACTGCTTCTGTGCACTCCACACTGGCTGGCTGTGTCCCTCCATTTCTCTAGTTGTACCCTGGCCTGTAATGTCCTGTCCACACTCACCCGGGATCCATATCCTGCCTGTGTCACAGGTGCTCCTCCAGGGGGTTCTCCTTGCTTATGCCTATTGCACTGGGACTTGGAGTTGTCACTGGAACCCCATCTTTACACTGCCCTGTTCTCTCCTGTTATGGTCCAGCTGGCCTTGTTTTCAGCCAGTTCCTGGAGGGTGGGGACCCTTCTTGGATCCCAGCATTGATTTGAATGACAAATGAAGACTCCAGAAAGACTTACTGAAGTGCAGGGTTAGTTTTATAACAACTTCCATTATTTTCTGATTAAAATGAATTTACATAGCTCCCAAGAAATTCAGAACACATTGAAAGGTTTAACAAAAATAAAGCTCCCTCTTAAACTCACAAACCATTGATCACCACTGCCTGTTTTGGTGTAATTGTGTCCAGGTGTGGTAGTCCAGCTTTGTTACCCTGGGGTGACAAACAAGTTTAACAACTCCTGTGATAAAATCCAAAAGAAAAGCCCCTGACTTTTAATTAGTGTTTTTTAACCTGTTTGTATTTATTGTAATTGCTGACATATTAGATTTATGGTATTTCTTCTTTACCATATTTTCCCTTTGAATGTTTTCCCCCTTAATTCCTATTTTCTACTGACTCTGTTGAGTTTTCTTGTTTTATTTTTCTTGTTTTGATAAGGCAATTGTGCATTTTATTACTGTTATCCTTACATTTGAACATAAGTGAGGAGCTATTTTATACCATCTCTTCTCTTTGAACCTCTCTCCTGGGGTCACTACAATGGCCTCTGCCTCCATCTTTGAACCTTTAGAGCTTATTCTCCACACACAGGTAAAGGGATTCTGTTTTGCTTCAGTTAGACCACATGTTTATGCTCAGACCTGGCACAAGTTCTTCTCACTCAAAGCAAAAGCCACAGTCCTCACAACGAGTATGGAGGCTTCCACTACCCCTTTAAGCTTGTCTCCTCTTTTGCTTGCTCTCCCCACTCTAGCCTCATTGGCCTTCTTGTTGTCCCTTGAATGTACCAGCTGTGTCTCTGCCTCAGGGCCTTTGCCCTTGCTGCTCTTCCTACCGGGACCCTCTTCTCCCAGAGATCCCATGGTCCAATGCCTTCAAGCCCTTAGCTAGGAAGTCTTGTTCTCAGCAAGGATTTACCTGACCACTCTACCTAAATTTTCACTACCCCCACCTTGGCACCTCCTTGGTCCATTTCTTGCTTCTCTGTTCTCCATTGCAGTTCATATTTTACTCATTTGGTTTTTTTTTGTCTAGCTTCTCATCACTAGAATGTGAGCAACTTGAAGGTGGTGGGGACATTGGCTATTGTTCACTGCTTACACCCATGACTTGGAGCAATGCTAGTCCACAGGAAACATTCAATAGGTACAGATCAAATGAATGAATGAATTGGTTAATTAATGGGTGGATTCTTAAGTTAAATAATGCCAGCACCCTCCAGAATCCATCAGAAACAACATTCCCCAGGGAGTGGTATTCGGGTCCAGGGTGCATCATGCCTATTTGCTCTTTAGTTGAATTCCTTCTGCTCTTTTGGTCCTTCTGATAAGACGTCTTATTTCCTAAATTGTGGGTATTTTCATTTCAGAGTTTATATTTTCATTTTAAAATCACTGTTGTTTCTTCCTATTCTAGTTCTGCCTGTTTTTGTTTCCTAACTTCCGCTTCTTGTTTCATTGGTGCACTCATTTTCTATATCTCTTAGAGAGTACTAAATGTGCTCTTCCTCCCTTCCTCTCCCCCTCCCTCCCTTTCTTCTCTCTCTCTTTCTTTTTTGAGACAGTCTCACTATACAGTCCATACTGGCCTTGAATCTGTGAGTCTCCTCCCTCTGCTCTGGAGTCACGGGTATTTGCCACCTATGTCACCTGTGTGCCACTTGGTGAAAAAAGCAATCTTGGTGGCTTTCCTTGTGCATATAGACACCCTTACTGGGCAGTTTTCTCGTGTGTTGGTGATTCACCAGCTGCTGCGTGAGGCCCTTGGGATGCAGAAGGAGCACATGAGACCGTTCCCTGCCCTTATCCCAGGCTCCCTGGAAAGGCAAGTCATGATCATGCCTTGGAGAACAAGACGGAGTGAGGGGTGGAGCACGAAGGGGGCTACTTTAGGCAAGGGAGTTAGAGAAGATCTTTCTTTGGAGGTGACCTTGGAAGAGACCCAAATATAGGTGATGGGACAAGGCATTCACTGCCTGGGAAGAGGACATTTCAGGCAGAGGGTAGAGCCTGTGCAAGGTCCCTGGAGTAGGCATGTGCTGGTATGCTGAAGGAACCAGCGTGCTGGGGTGGGGCAGATGAGAGGGTGGAAGGAGGTGGGGCAGAGCAGTTTTGGGACCAGAACCTCCTTGTCCCTTTAGGGTTTGGACAAGGGTGACAGCATCTGGCTTACATTTATGAAAGTCCCCTGGCTGCTGTGAGCATGGCCTGAGGGTCCCCAGGAGGCTGCGGGGTCATCCATTGGAGCAGTGGTGAGGGTGGTCAGATCTGGCACAGCAGGTTGGGGAGAGAAGCCCTTGGATTTGGGATGCATTGGCTGACAGTGCTGAGAGCAGAGGGAAAGAGTAAGCTGTGCTGATAAGGGTGGTCATGGGGCCAGCCATGGAGATCCATCTCTGTGGTGGAATCTTGGGGGAGAACAAGTCTGAGGGGGAGAGAAGTCATGCTGGCTCTGACAAGCTCAGCGTGTTCCTGATCCATCCATCTGATGGCTTTATGGAACACCAGGGTGTAAAATGCACATTAAGTCACAGAATGGCTGAGCTCACCGAGAAGTGACCTTTCATAGCAAGGAGCTAAGGACGGAGGCTGAGCCCTTGGCCTCTGGTTTCCTGAGGTCAGGAAGGAGGGGAAAACCAGCGTGGGATGAGATGAGATCAGGGACAGCTGGCTGTCCAGAAGCTCCAGTTCCCAAGTAGAAAGTCCCAAGCAGGGTCCTTACCACCACCAAGTGCTTCGGAAATATGGGGAGGTGGGGACTGGGCCTAGATGCTGGACTCCCTGGCCTGGACTTCCCTGATAGTCACGGCCTGAGGGTCAGCTGTGGAATGGGGTGGAGGAAGGTTACCCATAGCGCTGGAAGAAAGCAGGGGGATCCGTGAAGACAGGCAGCTGCTGGAAAGGGTTTCACTGCAAGGCGAGGCTGGACGGGGGGAGGTAGGTTGAAGTAGAGTCAAGCTAGCTGCTGTAACAAGTAGACCCTGAAATGTATCATGGTGCAAACACCATAGAACTATTTCTTTTCTTTTTTACTGGGATTTGAACTCAGGGCTTCATGCTTGCTAGGCAGGTGCTCTACCACTTGAGCCACTCTGCCAACCCTTTTTTTGTGTTGGGTATTTTTGAGGTAGGGTCTCGCTTTTTGCCCATACTGGTCTTAAATCTTGCTCCTCCTGATTTCTGCCTCTTGAGTATTTGGGATTACAGGCGTGAGCCACCAGCACCTGGGCTCTTCTTATTTCCTGGCTCTCACTGGGCAGGGCAGAGGAGGGAGCCAGGTTTCAGAGCAGACTCGCTATAGTCGAAGTCTAGAGGGGGAGGTAGGGAATCTGGGGTGGTAGTTATAA